AGAAAGAAAGAAAGAAAGAAAGAAAGAAAGAAAGAAAGAAAGAAAGAAAGAAAGAAAGAAAGAAAGAAAAAGATCTTTGTAGCAACTAGAAAACCATTCTAATCCTAATCAGTCAGCCAGGGAGTAATATGTATATTTTTCCTCTGCCCCCTCATGTTTATATTATGTTATCATATCACACAGAGCTTTGAATGCTTTGAACATCTTCCCTTTGCTGGTTCTTCACATCTGGTTTCACTCCCTTGGAGATGCTTTTATTCAACACAATCCCAACCAAATAACACTATCATTGTTCCCACGTGGTATTTCTACCTTATTAGAGATAGGCAGCCCACATTATACCTCACTCTAAGATTACCTTGGGCATCACTGTATCTTGTGCCACGCAGTGGCTCTCCAGGCACATTTTCCCTGGCCCACAGGGTGTCCCATCAGCCCAGGGCAAGCTGCCATTTTTGGTGTGGCAGAGTTGCTCTCCGTTTTCCAACTTGCACCAAAGCTGGGAGCAGACGTCTTCCTGTGTGGCATTTGGACAGTGTTCGAACTCTTTGCCAAATATTTGCTGGCACTGTTGGTCTAAGTTATACATTGGTATTTGGCCTGGAAGGTCAGTCGGGAGGGTGATAGTTTGGGCTGGTTCATCAAGCAGACAGTTACCTGGTGAAAGAGAAAAAGTAGAAAGACCATCTCAAAGAATGTATCATCCTTACAGCCAAATTTCTATGAGTCTCTTAAAAAAGTCCATAAAGCAGAAATTGGTCGTATCTATTGTCTTAATCTTTCTACACTAAAACAAACAAAGCAATAAACAAATGAATAAATCCATCTACCCATTTATCTCAAAAAGACTTCAATCTGATGTAAACTATTGTAATATATCTTATCAGGTTAGCAAAACCATAATAAAGATCCGGACCTTTTTTTTTTTTTCATTTTTAAGAGTTTATGAATTAAGTTTGTAAAAGTTCTGCCCATCTGCGCCCTTGTTTGAGTACCTGTGTTTTGAGAAGTAAATTGCATTGTAGCTTAGAATGTTTGAAAGTAGACTTTTATCTGTAAAGCGTTCTTTGAATTGTTCTAATGAAATGAACACTGAATTGGCTTCAATTTACATTAGATACAAATAAATCTGTAAAGTGTTCTTTGAAATGAAGGTAGCAAATGAAGGTAGCAAATGAAGGTAGCAAATGAAGGTAGCAAATGAAGGTAGCAAAAGTTTTTGATTAGTGCTATTTCTCCAAAAAAGGGATATAGTAGTTCAGAGGCTAAGACGCTGAGTTTGTCAATCAGAAAGGTTGGTAGTTCGGTGGTTCGAATCCCTAGTGTCACGTAACAGAGTGAGCTCCCATTACTTGTCCCAGCTTCTGCCAACCTAACAGTTCGAAAGCACTTTAAAAATGCAAGTAGAAAAATAGGGACCATCTTTGGTGGGAAGGTAACAGCGTTCTGTGCGCCTTCAGTGTTTAGTCATAACGGCCACATGACCACGGAGACGTCTTCAGACAGCGCTGGCTCTTTGGCTTTGAAATGGAGATGAGCACTGCCCCCTAGAGTCGGGAACGACTAGCACATATGTGCGAGGGGAACCTTTACTTTTATTTCCCAAAAACATATTTAATTTATTGGAGGCTTAAAGCGACGGGCTCCTTTGCTCGTACAAAACTAACTTACAAAGTCCAGCTTGGTATGCATCAGATTTGGTTCCCAAAATGGCGCTTTGAAACATGAACCTGATCCTGTTTGCAAGGCTTGAAACGTATTGGACAAACTTTGTCAAAGGAGCTCAGCTTGATATATATAAGGATACGTACCATGTCCTCCATCCAGGAATTCTGTGATATACATGGCACTGCAGGGGGACCAAGGCAGGGTCTTGTTC